TAGGAATGACTTCTTAGAGTAAAAATGTTCCTTTTAATGAACTATGGAAAAGAGACCAACACTATACAGTGTATTCTGGATGGGAAACTGCATCTTGTATGCTGTGATGATATTCAGTGAATGAATGCAAAATAATTAATAAAAATAAATAATTTAAAAAAAACCCAGGATGGTCCACAGACTAGTTTCTCATGAATAAATACTCCAGAAAAGGGTAAAATGTTCACCAGCATTTATATGTATGTAAATGTATGCATATGTATGTATTATATGTTTATGTATGGATGCACATGTTTCTTAGGAACCACATGGGACTCTGTTCAAAAACAAGATTTGTATGATTTTTATTTTATTTTAAAACTGAGATATTATACCTTGGTCTACAAAAAAATATTAACAGAAGTAATAATATACTTTCTGGAGAGGTTATTTCCTTGAAGTGTAAAAGAAGTCAATCTGTCAGTGAGGCATGAATTTGAAGGGATAGAATAACAATTTTCTTTACTCAATGGAATTGACTCAGAATCTGGCTCTGTTCCCTCCGAAGACATATACACCTTTTGAAGGAAAGCCAGTCAGGATGAGAAGGAGGATGTCATTGCTCTCTCTCCAGGTCCAGTAAGAAGTTAGCACATTCCTTCATGAAGTAACTGAACTTTTCCTTCACTTTTCCTAAGAGAAGATACAGTTAAGAAAATTCATTAACACATGAGGAAATTTTATATAATATTAGAGCTGAAAGATATAAAGACTGCGAGGTAGAACCTCATTTTTCAGATGAGGAAACTGAGTTTCAGAAAGAAGTGTGCTTGCCACAGGCAGTTTCCGACAGAGGCAGGAACAGAATTTCCCTTATCTAGTGATACTTTCACTCTATCTACTGCTTCCAATGCTTCCACAGTCCAGATGATCACTAGTGCATTAAAATAACAAAAGGAAATTGAGGTGGCCTGTCCCTTAGTATTCCTGATCAACCAAACCTGTGATGAAGTTGGATCCTGCATTAATGAATATTTCTACCACATTTCTCTTTCAATACCCCTGAACAAAGCTATTGGGTCATCAGGAAAGTCATGATGCATTTTTGCATAGAAAAACATGTCATGATTTTATCGATGACTTAATAGTTTCTAGGCCAATGGCCCAGGATGTGTCTATGTTAGAGAATTTTCCCTTTTGTGAAATAAATTTTCGTGATAGGTATTGGAATATTTAGACATGTCTTTCAGGGCTCAGGGCCCAACTTGATATCCTGACTTGTCAAGATAATCACAAATGAAAAACACAAACTCTAAGACATGTCAAAATTCAGTGGCCTAAAAGATAGTTAACAATGATCAAAATAAACTTGGTTTACTGTGGTAAGTAAACCTCCTGGGAATTGAAAATAAAGGACCTCTAGCCATAGTTTGGCTAAGAATCAAACTCCATTAAGGTTGTTAAAAACCTTTCAAGTCATGTAGGGTAGTAGTTCTTGATTCCTTCTTGGTGTAGGGTTCAGAAACCATTCCTCAAACAAGATATTGTGTGGAACGCGACTATTTAAAATAGTTAAAAGTTATTGGGGATGGATATTCCACTCACCAACTCCCTGCCCTAAATGGCCCCCTTAACCATTTGGTAACTTGTTCCAGGGACAGGAGTTTTAGAACTCACAGTTTTAGATTCCCTGAATTGAAAGACAGGAATTAGAAGTTTGTGGTAGATGAGACCAGTCCAAACTGGCAAGGTAGGTGACCCTAGCTGGGTCTGACCTTGCAGCAGTCTGTTTTCTCTCCCCACCTGCTTTCTGAATGAGATTCAGGGAAGTTTATTAAGAGTTAAGGAGACTCCTGGAAAAATGAGTTTGTAGTGAGCAGACTGACCCCAGACCCCCTTTTTCTCCCATGAAATACTCACAGGTTCTCAATACACAAGTGGCATTCGTTCCCATAGGTGATGTAGTCAGAACCACAAACAGGTAGGTACATGATGGGGCAGGGAATGGCCACCACTGGGTACTTCTTGTAAATGCTGCAGTCCAACTGTGTCAGACACAAGAGAATATCTTGCTTTTCTCCTGGATCCAAGCTAGGGTAACCTGGCCTTTATTGGGCAGGCTATAAAAATTCCATTCTGAAAGTTTTGGCTCAGATATTCTGATGCTGCTGTGGGTATATTTATAAGTACTTACATTATCATTATGGCAAATATGAATACTACTCGCATCTCTTTTGGTTTGACTACTACACTTAGTTCACAATTGCTGAGCATTTCTACGCCAGGCACTTAACTGAAATCTTACATTAATTTTCTTCTTTTACTCTTAAGAACAACTGAATAAGGTTGGCTCTACTATTACTTCTATTTATAAGTGGGGAAATTAAAGCTTAGAAAGTTGGGATTGAATCCAGAGCTGGTCTGTCTCTCACAAGTTGTTCCTTCCATGAAAACTTCACCCACTTCTCAGCTGGAAGTCAGCTCTCTTTTTAACTTTAAAACTTAATCTTTTTAAAAAGAATCTAGTTCTTTATAGGTAAGTCATTTTTTTTCTTTTGTAGAACAGAGCTCATTTATGCATCTCTGGTTTATTCCTCCTCTGGTCTCTCTAAACTTACTGAATTGATCTTACTTACATATTTCGTAAGTATTTATTGACTAAAGAATCAGTAGAAATTGAAATGAAAATATTATCCAACATACTCACCATTTTTGAAGTTAGACTGGCAGCTTCTGAAATAGAATACAAATAGAATTATTAAAAATAACACAAAGCCTCAAAAATATCATTAACTAGGGTAAGTTTTGCCTGTACTTGAAGACTCTGGATTTCCCATGGCAAGGAGTTTCAGTACATTCCTCATCTTTACACAAAATCCCAACTATTTGCTGAGGAAGTTGAACGGCCAATAGGTTAGGTCAGCCCTTGGTTCAGGTATGAGAATATCCAAATTCCATCTCTTCATTGGCCAGGGGACATTTTCTTGAGCACATAGTGTCTCCAATAATGGTTCAAATCAGGCAGAAATAAGTATTTCAATCCTAAGAACCTGAAGCACTATCTTTGATCATCTTTCCACCCTAATTAATATAAAAGAATATACTGAAAGCGACTTTAAGATGTTACAAACTTTCTTTTAACTAAGTAACTTTTCATTGTATATTGCTAAAGTCTGATTGTTGATTCAGTCCTTTGGAGAATTGTGCTTTATTTTGATCCTCCTCGATTGATCTGGGCAACATTCAGATTTTTCTGACTCTTTGCACTGAGAAATAGGACCTAATAATGCCAACAACTTCCAGTATCCTTATGAAATGGAAAATTTGTAAAGAAATAATATCATATCTTTTTTGTTCCGTGGATGCAAATAAGCATTTTGGAAAAGGAAGATTTAGATCCAAATTCCTCAAACTCCAGCTGGAACTTAAGATTTTCCTTTCCCAGACCTAAGCTATTTCTCTTACAAGCCAGTACCCTCAAAATCCACACAGACATTTCTCTCAGAGAAGTTATTTGGGAAAACAAGCTTAATGACTCTATGGGGACTGTCCACCTTAGCTCACCTGTTCTGCAGCAGAAGTAGGTCAATGCACAGAGCAGAAGGAGACCCCCGATGCCCTTCATCATGGAGATGGTGTAATGCCAAGCTGCTCAGAGGTTGTCACCACAGCTGTATGGCCATTGCCTAGGGACGTTTATATGGCAAGTCTTCATTTCTCCACCTTTCCTGTGAGGTCATCCAGAGTCAGTTCTGGCTCCAAGAGAATCTCAAAGCATGATGTCACACCTTGGGTGGTGTTGCAGTTCTTGTCCTTTAATTGCTACTTCCTATCTGACCAACAAATTGATTATTTGAGGAAAGAATTATTTTAATAATAATAACAGCCCATCTCATGGGGGAGACTTAGAATTCTAAACTGAGCATAGTAAAAGAGTTTAAGTCTAGGTTGCTTGACTTTATTTTGAAATAAATAGGAATTTTACAGTTCCTAAAGGAAATGATCAGTTTTATTTATTTACTAAAATGGGAAATATTAAACCCAGATTAGACAGATTTTATGTGTGTTTACAGTTTGGTTTCTGGGGAAATGGTATTTTCTTTCTGAGACAATGAACCTATTAAGTAAGCTGGGATTTAATAGAAGGAACAACAATCTTAGCATTTATGGAGCTTGGGGAAGCATTCACTTTTGACATTTTTTACTTGTGTGATCTTGGATTAGTCATTTATATGCTGTGAGCCTATATCAATCAAGAAGGCTTAGTTATGCTGTGGTAACGTATAACCCTAAGATTTCTGTGAATTAAGACAAAGCAAGTTAGTATATTTCTTCCTCAAATTAAATACATGGCTAAGGATACTGTGTGTCCTTCACTCTGGATGCCCAAGGGACAAAGTAGTAATTATTTGGAATATTGTTGTCAAAGTGTATGTTAATAGGATGCATTTTTGAGATTTCCCTTTTTAGTAATTAAATATTCTAGCCCAGAAGTGATAACACTGTGACTATCACGTGGCCATCACGTGTCCTCACCCAACCTTAGAGGTTATGAAGAGATAAAATTGATCTCACCTTGTCCCCTGAAGTTGGTAAATGGCAAAGAGACCACCCCTAAGCCTATCCAGTGGAGCTATTGTTCACCACAACATAGTTTGCATAATTGGACTAATTTATAGAAAAGTCTGTTCTAAAACATGGTGCATTTAATTACGTCATGGTGATGGATACTTTAGCTACCTCATCTTCATAATAGAAATCATATTTATCTTAGGAGGTGGCAAGACTTGGAAGAGGGTTAAGTGTCCCAGAAGGTCCTAATAGATTATGCAAGGGACAAGCAGTTGAGTATTTAGAGGTCAAGGCTTAAGCAACATATGTACTTAGTAGGTGTGGGGAATATGAACAATTGTTTACGGAGGCTGTGGCTAGCAGGCAAAGTGCCAGATTAATTTCTCAGGGGTGGGGTTGAGATAATGTTCTTCAGGGTGAATCTGAAGACAAAGGAGGTAAAGATGGTTGATGATAAAGGTCTCTGGACTCAAAAAGCTGAGGAAAAGTGAGGTCAGGGGGTCAGGTATGAGGTTGTTTGGGGTTTTAGCAGCTGTGATACAGAGGAAATTTTCAAGATGGAAACTGAGTCGCAAATTATGGCAGTGCTTTTAAGATGAGAGATGAAATCTTTGAAGAAAAAAACAGTTCACTATTTCAGGGTGAGAGCAGTTTTTCCATCCTTCCTTACATTCCTGCAAGTGATGAAGTGGGGAAGGGTGGATCTTGAGGCCTTAGAAGAGAGGGTCTCTATGATTATGGTTCCATCTTGGGGAAGGTAGGATAAGATTAATGCGGAAAAACATAAAAATGAAATAAGATCAAAGTTTGAGAATATTGGGGATTTCTCTCCTAGCAGACTTGGGGTGCTATAAGGCACTTCAGAAAACCCTTTAGAGAGTTAGAGAAGGTTAGGGAATTAAACTGCAGCAGGGCCTGAATGAAGAGTTCCTGGATCAGTGCAGTAGGAGGCTAATAGGGAAACCAGTACCATGGTAGGGCAGTAAACCGGGTATAGAATAGTAACTACAGGAACGAAATGTTATAATAATAAAATTGATAAATTAAGCAATTACTATATCTTAGAACCATGCTACACTTGCTATATGCATTATCTCATTTAAAATGTAAAACATTCTTATTAAATTATACAGTTATTCTCCTCGTTATTTAGCTGAGGCAATAGGGACTTGGATTTTTTTTTTTCTTTTTTCTTTTTTCTTTTTTTTTTGAGAGGTTTTTGCTATAGGGCGCATGCACTCGCCAGAAAGACAGAAAGCAACCACACACCACAATCCCTTCTTCTCCATTCACCTCTTGGGATTTTGGGCACACACATACACACACACACCTGGTGTGAGTTTAAGCTACCAGGTCTGGGATTCAAACCGATGCCGACGACATGGGAGTCCAGCGACATAGCCATTATATCAACTGCTGGTCCCAGCAATAGGGACATAGAGAAGTGTCTTGCTTAAGGTAAAGAGCCAATGCTTTGTAATCACTCTGGAATGTTGCTTTAAATCTAAATCTAACAAGCAAATGTGAAGGCATGGACATGAAATAATAGGAGTAAGCCTGGCAGAGTCAGAGCAGTCAGGAAGGACAGGTGAAGTTTTAAATGAGCAGCAGAGGGAGCTGAGCCGGGGGGGAAAATACATGGCATTCCGGGATGTGAAGATCATCTGTCACTAGGCTACATCTTTTGTACTGAATTCTATGTGAGATTGGATTGAAAAAATCTTTCATCTATTTTTCTTCTTTCTTTTTTTTTTTTTAAAGGTTTTTGCCATAGGGCATGTACACTAACCAGAAAAAGACAGTGAGAGAGAAGTGAAAAATCGTCCTCCCAGAGGGATGACATCACAATCCTTCTTCTCAATTCTCTTCTTGTGACTGAGTGTCCATCTTTTCTTTTATTGTTCTTTTTAAAGAATTATATTTAACTTTCAAATTAAAATAAATAATTAAATTAAATTAAATTATTCTTTAAAAAATTTAAAAAACTAGGGAACCAGCAGGTGGTGTGGTGGTTAAGGGGTGGTTAAGGGGTGTTGGACTCCCACATGACTGACTGCAATTTGAGTTCTGGACCTGGTGGCTTGCTTCCTCACTTTCTCTTTCTCTCTCACTCTGTCTCTCACTGGTCAAATTTTTAAAAAAGACAAATTCACAATAATTCATCACTAACAATAATTATATTCATTATTAATAATGAATATTATTGATAATCCTTTTAAAAGAATTATTTTATTTAACTTTATTTATTTATTTATATTTTTAAATTTGACCAGAGAGAGACAGAGAGGAAAAGTGAGAAGGAAAGCCACCAAGTTTGGGACTTGAACTGTGATTGGCTATGTGGGAGTCCAGCACCTTTATGCCATCTGCCAGCCCCCCATTTTTTCTTTTGTTAAAAAAATAATTAATTCAATTTAATAAATAAATAAATTTTTAGGTTTTTGCCATAGAGTGTATGCACTTGCCAGAGAGAGACAGAGAGGAAAAGTGAGAAATCACTCCCGGAGGTGCAGATGGCTGTGTTGCAATCCCTTCTCTATTTTCCTCTCAGAATTTTGGGCACACACGCACATATACCTGGTGTGAGTTTCAAACCACTGGGTCTGAGACTTGAACCACGGTCTGCAATGTGATAGTGTAGCACCTTAACCACCACGCCACCTGCTAGCTCCTAATTTATTTTATTTTATAATTTCTTATCTACATTAGGTTGTATATCTTTATGATATACAATATGTTTTTTCAGAGCATGCATGCAGTGTGGGATAATCAAGTCAAGACTGTTATCATATACATTGTTTTCAATAAAGAATCATATTTTATGATGTGTACTTTTAATTTTCATATTACTAGTTTTTTTCCGTGTGTGTGTGTGTGTGTGTGTGTGTATGTATGTTTATGGTCTATTTTTCTTTTTTTGAAATTGCCTTTCTCTACATTTTCTCTTTTTATTATTTTCTATTACAAGTTTTCATTCCAGTAATTTCAGTCAGAGATTATGTCTAGAAGTTTATGGTCTTTACCATCCATTCAACATTGATTTATTATATTAAACTACTATTTTATGCTTTGCTTGTTATCCTATGACACTTTTATTTATTTTCATCACAGCATTCATTACTGGCATACTGACTTCTTGATATTGCTTATTCATTTATTTGTACATTATTTATCTCTTACTACTATAATGCAGGTTCCATAAGAACAGGATCTTGCCTGTCTTTTTCTCATTAATAGTTAGTTGCCATAGGTTGCATGTACTCACTGGAGAGGGACAATGAGAGACAGAGAAAGGCAAAGTGAGAAATCTCCTCCCTGAAGGATGGCCATACTGCAATCCCTTCTCCTCCATTCTGCTCTTGGGATTTTGGGTATGTGTGCACAGCTGCCTGGTGTGATTCTTCAAGCCACCAGGTCTAGGACTCACACCATAGTCAGTCATGTGAGAGTTCAGCACCTTAACCTGCTGGCCCTTGCCTGTCTTTTTTAACTTGCTTATCCTGGCATCTATAATAGTACATTGCATGGAGGAGGAACTACTCAATAAATAATTGTTAAATGAATCATTAGCCAAATGGTAGAGTGACACAGAATTCATCAAGCATTTGGAAGAAATCATTTGCTTTCATCAGTTAAATTTAAACATAATAAGAAAATGTTATCTCACAGAAACCCAAAATAATCTAATCATTGTTGATTGGATTTAACTTCAGTACAAAGAGGAAAGTATGAAATGTTTAACAATTCTCTCCCACTTTTTTCCCCCTTATGATTAAGATCGTCTTTAAGTTGAAATCACTCTATTTTCTGAGTGTGCAGAGGCCTCTTGCAGAGTTCTTTTTATCAGAAAAGGTTACAGGATAAACATACCTCTCACAACTGAGAGAGAAACTCTGCCTTCTCCTTTTTAGCTGCTACCACCATTGCATCGATATGAGGGATACACCAATCCTAGAAGTGCCCACGCATAATCTATAGAAAGAAGATATAGTGACTAATAAAAACACTTTATTAAGATGGATACTGCCTAAATGAAAAAAGCCAGACTACATAACTGGCCCAGGATAGAAAGAAATAAGAAAAACAAGACTTAAATTATTGAAATAACTTGAGATTATGTTTTTCCCAAAGAAGAAAAATCTGAGTGTGCAATGAGTAGATGACAAAAATATATTTCTTTTGCTGCTAGTTGGGAGAGAGTAAACCCTTCCTATTTTGTCATAAAGGGCCCTGATGGTTGAAAGCATCATAAATATAGGTTTGGATCCAAGGTAAGTAGGGTTTCCTAACAATCAAATCTTGATAGCACTGTTCATGCTGTATCATGAAGTAAGTTTCCACTTTATGGGACATCCTGGTGGATGCTGGCCCATGAGGAACATTATAGAAGAAGTCAGAGATTGTTTAAATGGTTACCAAGTCCCCAGCCAACACTAAAAGTCTGTGATGGTATCCAGGTTAGAGGCTCAATCAATGCATCTTGGATTTAACTGACTTTGCCTAATTCATGTTCAATATAGTGGCACTCTGCCCTTGACCAAATTCTACTTAGGCTCCTCTGAGCCTCTTCTCAATGAGGCCTCAGTATTGTCCTGTAACAACCTCAGATTCAGCACAAATGATTTTGTCTAGCCCCTCCCTAACACAATAAAATATTTGCACAAATCCTAATATAGTTTCTAGTAGCTCAATGTTGCACCCCTAGGAGGATCACAGGTCCCCTTAAATGTCTGCCTGAGAAAACTCAACACTGTTAAGACTACTTAGTGTTCATCCCAGACAAAACCTGGTGATAACACAGATAGATTGCTAAGCCTCCTTTTAAAGCAGTTACTTTAGAAAGCTTGCAACTATATATCTTTTCTTTGCCCTTTGAGATGTAAGTTCTGAAATGTTGCCTTAAGAACCTGAGAACTGTCTCCCTGAAAGGCAAACCTTTTGGGAACTAACTCTTGATCTTTCTCCTGGCAGCCACAGGAGGATAGGGATCTAACTTCAGTGGGCACCTTGCTTAAACTTAGGTACAATAGTTACTTCTTATTATAAAGATACAGGAAGTTCATTTCTCTTCTGGATAAGGACCAGTGAACAAACTCAGATGGTCTGATTGCACACTCTACCTCCTCTCCCTTCCTGCTTTTTGTAAATGTTCACTTCTCAGTCTTCACCATTCTCTCCATTCTGACCTTCTCCCATCAAAATGTCCAGTCACCTATGCACCCTTCGAGGCTGAGTTCAGTTCTCCTGGGCTTTTTTTCCCTATACCAATAGCATTACTACTATAAATTATCATTATCACTTGAATACTATCCAGTTTTGTTTATCTTTGACAACTGTTCCTAAGTCGATTTTTAGAGAAATACAAAATAAATTTTTGATGCGGTTGAAAGTGTTAGATGTGCTTATGGTCGAAGTTCAAACAGTGGGTCAAAATCAGGAGTTATTAGCCTTGATGAAAGGCTGAATGTATGGAGGATTGTTAGACAAGTCAGAAGGTTCAGAAAAAGCTTACTCAGATGTAGTAATACACTCTGCAATGGTTACGAACGATTTTTAAAAGTTTGCCAGAGAGTACATGTGCTTACCATTCTAGACAGAGAGAGAAGCACCTACCCCCATCCCCCATGGTGAATGGTCACAATTCTCTCTTCTCCATTTCTCCCTTCTTTCAGAATTTTGGGTACGCATGCATATATGCCCAGTGAATTTTTCAAGCTATTACTTATGTCCAGGACTTGAAGTGCATATTGGCCATGTGGGATCCAGCTGCCTTAACCACCACACCACAAGCTGGTCCTGCATTCACTTTCATCTGCTTTTCCATCTCCTCCACCTTCTCAAAAAGCATTGTAAACTTTTGTAAAATATAATTTTTTTGGTCAATGTTTTTGTACAAGTAATATTGTATTAGGATACATCAATGGTAGTAAAATTATAGGTCAAAATTTTATGTATAAATACACATTTTCAGAAATCTTATATGTAGACCGAAGCTCCTTAATGAGAATTGAGATGTAGTCAAAAGTATCTACAAACTCCCTTAAATTTTATACACCTTTTGAAGTATATATGAGCACATGTACAATTTTCTGTCCCTATGTTAGAATCTCAAAGGAACTTCTCTTTAATCCCAAAATATACCTAAACTTTAAGATGCCAAAAAGAAGGTTGTGTGTAGTTCTTTTCTTTAGAATAGAGCCCTGTACATAATAAGTGTTAGTAAATGGGAAGCAGAACAGTTCTGCAAAATATGGTATTTGGGGCTAATTTTTGTCTTCCAATAAAACAATGGTACTAGGGCCAGTTGGTGGCATGGTGGCTAAGGACCCTGGACTCCAACATGGCCAACCATAATTCAAGTCCCAAACCTGGTGGCTTGCTTTCTCACTTTCTCTCTCTCTCTCTCTCTCTGCACTCTCACTCTGTCCCTCTCTGGCCAAATTAAAATAAGTAAGTAAATAAAGTTAAACAAAAATAATTCTTAAAAAAAGGACAATGATACCTGGAATCTTCTTAAGTGTGTTTGTTTTGCTCTTGTAAGAGCTTATCACTTTTTCTGACCTTAAGTTTTCTTGTCAGTTGTTCCTTCCCTGTCACCAGTCTGGAGTCTGAAATAAAAATAGGAAAAAGTAAATAGGTGTCTAAAATGTCTTATATTTTTAATTCAGAGCACATAGCATTAAAATAGCTATAAGATGTCCTCCACAGAAGAGGACAAAGTAAGGCTCACCCTGCCCCTGCCCTGTATCTCTTCAAAGGGACTGATTTTAATCTCTCTTTTCACACAAATACACACATATGTTAATTTCCCTTATAATTTTTCTTTACTATTGTTTATCCATTAATCTCACATGGGTAGGTAGATGTTCCCTAATAGTTTTATAAATGTATACATTTATATTAAGTGTTTTATCTTTGATAGCAAAGATTATAAAGAGAATTATCAAAGAAAAATTACTAAAATCTAACTGTAGTTGGGTCAACAGGTGGATGTAGTGGTTGGGCACTAGACTCGTACATGGCCAACTGTGGACCAAGTCCCAGACCTGATGACTTGCTTTCATCACTTTCCCTCTCTCTCCCTCTCTGTCTCTCTCTGGTGAATGCATGTGTCCAATGACAAACTAAAAAAATAATAATAATAAATAAAATTAAATAATTATTTTTAAAAACTAACCTTTTTTTTTTTTTTTTTTGGCTTTTGCCATAGGGCATGTGAGCTCTCTGGAGAGAGACAGTCAGAGGGAAAATGAGAAATTGTCCCCCCAGGAGGCATGGCCACACCACAATCTCTTCTTCTCCATTTTCCTCCTGGGATTTTGGGCATGCTTGCTTACATGCCTGGCATGATTTTTAAGCCACTGAGTCTAGAACTTGAACCATGGTTGGCCATGTGGGAGCCCAGAGTCATAACTACTATGCCACTTGCTGGCCTGATAGAGGTGTCTTTTTAAATTAAAAAGCAAGAGGTGTCTTTTTAAATTAAAAAGCAAGTTCTCATAAACTCCAGTTCCAGTTTTATCTAAGAGATAAACAACAAAGAGCAAAATAAAAATATCCTAAAAGATGTAGAATCATGAGAAATAAATGAGGTTATTTTGGAAATTAAAAATAAAAGCCCAAAACAAAAATAAAAAAATGAAAGAAGGAAGAGCCAATGACATAAATACTAAATTAACCCAAATCTACTTGGTAGCTTTAGAGAATTTGGGATTGTGCAGTAAAAATTTGGCCCTTGCCCAGGTGTAATAGTGTGTGCTGTTTAATGTTGTGCTGTGCAGGCTGGGACCACATGGGAGGCCTGGGTTTGATTCCCAGTTCAACCTAAAGGTTAGGCACAGTGGCATGCGCCCTTAGTCCCAGTGACTTGGGGAGGGAAAGATCATCAACTCAAGGCTGGCCTGGGCAACATAGTGGGTCGCTGCCTTAAAAAGGGCTGGGCATGGTGGCACACTCCTATCGTCTCAGCTGGGAGACTAGCACAGAAGAATTGTGACATGGAAAGTCCCCTGTCTTATTAAAATCAAAATGAAACAAACAAAATAGAATTTGGCTTTGCCCTCCAAATGGTCTGACCTTTGCCTTTGACTTCTGGGAGGCAATTTATGTCACACCTGATAGGACTGTTTGTTTAGAGCATGATCTTGCTACACCAGACCTCAGGGTTGGACTGGCCATACCTGATAGTTTAGGGAAGGGCTGGCTACACCAGAAAGATAACCATGTGATTTAGGGTGGGAGCTCCAGTTGACCTAGAGACTGAGTTCAACAATGTAGACAATATATTAATCAGTAATGCTTATAAAATGAAGTCCTAATAAAAACTCTAAAGACCAAGGCTTAGGGAAATTTTCTGGTTGCCATTAATTCATGTGTATTGTCACATATTAATGCCACAGAAAAAGTACCATGTCCTGACTCCATAAGCTTTACCCTAAACCTGCCCTGACTGTCTTCTTTTGACTGATTTAATCTGTTTCTTTGTCCTGTACTAAAGTGTAACCATAAGTATTATAGCTTTCATTGAGTTCTATGTGTCTTTCTAGCAAATTACTGAATATGAGGATGGTTATAGGAACCTCTAAACTTGCAGCTAGAGTCAGAAATGAGAGTGGTCTTGAGAAGGACTCTGCCCTCGATATTTGAACTTTGGACAACTCCAGGTAGAGATTATTACTACAAGATTACATATTTTCTTATCTTCTGTGAGTTTAATTTTCTTTTCTTTATTGATTTGTTTAGGTTTTTGTCATAGGGCATGTGTGCTTGCAGGAGTTGACAGAGAGAGAGAGAGAAAGTGAGAAATCACTCCCCCCATGCATGTTAGGCAGTCTCCCTGAGCTGGTTGCTAAGTTATAGACAATCACACTAGCTTCACTTCAGTTGATCAGAAACCCCACCTTTTAGGCTAGTCTTGCAGTCTGTCATCCAGCTGTAACCAATCCAGTGATTTCTCTACCTCACTCCCTCATGTTTGTTTTTGTATGTCACTCTCCTTTTCTTGCTCACATCATTTTCCCTTTCTTGCTCACACCACTCTGCCTTTCTTGCACACACCACTTTCTCTTTTCACAAACTTACATACCCTGTGACTATGTGACTGTATGGAGTTGTTTGGAAACCATTTTCTGAGAAATTGCCCAATTCCAATTGTTCACCCTTTGTTCAAACAAACTGTTAAATTTTAGTCTAAAATTTTGTTTTATCACTCTGTAACCAGAAAAAGTACTTTGCTTTCTGTGAGAAATGTGCTCACCTGTCAAATGCCAAAGAATGGACGTAGAAACATTAGGAATAGAGAAGCAAAACATTAATGGTGGTCTTGTAAGATTGGGTGTCTGATGGGCAGGCAGACACGAACTGGATACAACAAGCAGTTGTCCCTAGTGCACAAGTCTCTCCCCCAGTTCCTCAATGACTGAATACTATGGGGTGTACAATCTTCTTAGATGTCACCTAAGTTTTGTTATTCCCTGATTAGGCATTTGTTGTCCTCTTCCCTCTCATTTGGTAGAAAGGTGTAGACTCAAGACAAGCATGAGAAAAGACCTACCAAATGTCCTGAGGAGGAAGAAGAACCAGGAAATAGAAAGGAACAAAGGACTGGTTATCAGTCACCATCTTGGGAAGTCATTTCTCAATGGTGATGGTTTCTGGGTTTCATTTGTTCAGGGACTTTTTGGGAATGTGTACTTTCTGAGGTTTTCACATCTGTAAGCTGGTTAGGCAGCTTTAAGCTATAATTTTTTCTTAAGCATTAGTCATTTAATTTTACTAATTATCATTATTCTTCAATTTGACCAGAGAGAGACAGAGAGAAAAGGAGAGAGAGAGAGGGGAGAGAAAGCTGCTAGGTCTAGGACTTGAACCCTGGTCGGCCATGTGGGAGTCCAATGCCTTAACCACCACTCCACCTGCCAACTCTTTGTTAAGCCATTCTTGAAAATGAATTACTTAGTCTATTTTCTTACAGTTTCCAATACAGGTAGACTTTGGGACAGGATCTTTGTAAAATAAAAAATCCTAGATATAGGGATTCATTTTCTACTAGATCCTTCTTTTATTTTATTTTATTTTTTTCTTTTCTTTCTATTCTTTTCTCTTTCCTTTCCTTTCCTTCTTTCTTCTCCTCTCCTCTCCTCTCCTCCCCTCCCCTCCCCTACTCTCTTCTCCCCTCTTCTTTTCTTCTTCTTTTCTCTTCTCTTCTCTTCTCTTCTCTTCCCTTCCCTTTCCCTCTCCTCCCCTCCCCTCCCCTCCCCTCCCCTCTCCTCTCCTCTGATCTCCTCCTCTCTTCTCTTCTTCTTTTCTTCTCTTCTCTTTCTCTTCTCTTCTCCTCTTCTCTCCTTCCCATCCCCTCACAAATCCCAAAAGGAGAGCAGAAGGGAGGAAAAAAGATTTTGGTATAACCATTCTCTATGGGGAGTTCTCTTTCTCTCTTTTTCTCCCCCTCTCTCTTGTGTGTGTGCACACCTTCTGGCAAAGAGAAACAAACAAAAAACCCAAACCAATCTTACTTCCTGACAAATGGAAGAGCAGTAGTGGTTTTCATCAGGGTATTCAATGTACATAATGCCAAAGTGGGTGAGTTATTTTTCTGCATAGACAATACAATAAGGTGAACTAAAAACATTCTGGAGCTACAATGGGCAAATACACTGATAGTGAATGTGACTCAAAATCAGGCAGTCAATGGCAAAACTAAGGACAGAATTCCGGCCTCCTTACTTCTGACAATGTTCTTTCTTTCTTCCAGTGGGAAGTGCTCATTAGTGTAATGCTCCTCATCACTGCCTGGTATTTTATGTCTATGACCACAGGAGGTAGAACTTACCTCTTTGGGATTTTTAAAAATAGGTGGGCCTAGCTAACTCCATGATCCCTTCCTTTGGAGTCTGCCCTTTATAGGGAGGATAGTTTCTTTTATTGTTCCATGTCTTTAGTAAGATCAGGAAGGCAGAGTATGTCCCTGCAGGTAAGCTGGCACCTTAGGTTAAGTGTAATTCAGAGAAGTGTTAGTAAGCCCACTTGATGAGCAGACCTCGTACCTCCAATATGGATGCTGACAATCAGTGCACAGAAATGAATCCCAATTAGCTTTTTTGTTATTATTTTTATTTGTAAGGAAGGTAATATTGGGTCTCACTTACTTCAGTTCCTTTGTTTCCTATTTTGTTCCATAGTTGGGTACAGCATAAGAGCCTGTTATTTAATTTGCATCCTCAAATTCCAAAAAAAAAAAATAATTTTAAGAATTAAGTAGTAAAAAAAAGCAGGTATATATACTTGGTTACCCATTAATCACATTTTCCATATTTATCAAATTTGATGGAAGAACCAAATTCCCTGAAGTGAAAAGAAAAAAACAAGGAGTTTAGTATAAGGAGGGTGGATAGTGCTTTTGAATGTACATTCCCTTGTCTTCTAAATGAAGTCCTGAAAAGGGAGCTGCTTTTACAATTCCCCTTTATATCCAATTTTTTTTTCATTCCTGTCTGTCACCACTACAGTTTGTACATTCCTTTTCTGTCTCGATCATTCAAAAAGTGTTCTATAAAGTTTTTCATTCTCTAGCCCATTCCCACCTTGATACGTGTTCATTCAGCAGGGCAATACCAGAATTTTCTACCAAGAATAAAAGATAACAACAAGAATACCACAGAATGTAGAAAGTATCTTACATGGAAGAACTAAAAAGGATATTTTCAAGTCTTTTGTTTAATTAACATCTTGCTGAGAAATTAGTGGTAACTATATTTGGAAGAAATGATAGTGTAATTTAGTAATTCTTCATAAACCGATAATTCATAAATTCCCATTCATTTTTCTTAAAGACAGTAGTAGCTAGGACTTGCCCTGAACATTAGTATGCACTTCTTTTTTTGGACTAGCTTGTCTCCTTCAGTAATCAGTAATAATCTTTCTGGAATGGGAACAAGGTGCTGAAAGCTTGTAAGAATTCTTCTCAAAGAAAGATTTTCAGTGAAGATTGGGT